AAAGAAATGGGGGGGGGGGACAAATGTTTTCTGATTCTTGGAACCAGGTTAATATTTCATAGGGTTGGCATCATTTGCTCAAATCACAAAATTAACATAAAACTGGCACAGTGTCAGCTCTGCTGACTTGTAGAACAATACAGGAGCACCACGGCAGAGCTCATTTTCCACCTAACAAGCTTTCCCCTGGGAAGGGCAAAGCCCATGCCCTTCTCCCTGACCAGACATGGGAGCGTCCATGACTGCCCTGATGAACAGCACCAGGACACCTGCTGCCTTCATCCATCCCTAGGAATGCTTGCCTGAAGCCTAAGCCACATGAGAACTGAGGCCTCCAGCCTTCATCCTGGCTGCACTCTATTCAACAACCAGCATCTACCTGCCCTCCAAGAGAGGACACATTCCCCTGGCAGTTGTCTTAATTGGGGTTTCATTGCTGTGAAGAGACAGCATGACCATGGCAACTCTTACAAAGGAAAACATTTAACGGGGGCTGGCTCACAGTTTCAGAGGTTTAGTCCATTATCGTCATGGTGAGAAGCATGGCGGCATGCAGGCAGACACGGTGCTAGGAGGAGCTCAGAGTTGTGCATCGTATCTGCAGGCAGCAGGAGACTGTGTGCCACACTGAGCGTAGCTTGTGCATAGGAAACCAAAGTCCACTCCACAGTGACACAGCTCCTCCAACGAGGCCACAGCCATTCCAAAAGGTCACACCCCCTAATAATTCTACTCCCTATGGGCCAAGCATTCAAACACATGAGTTTGTGGGGGCCGTTCCTGTTCACACCACCACATCCACCCCTGGTCCCCACAGGCTTGCAACCATAACACAGTGCAAAGTGCAGTTAGTCCAATTTAGTCCCACTGCCCACAAATCCAAAGCTCAAGGTCTGTTCTGAGATTCACGCAATCTCTTAGCTGTAATTCCCCATTACATACTTCTAAAATATAACGACACAGGGTATATATTGCCATTCCAAAATGTGGGGAAGGCAGCATAGTGAGGAAATATTGGAACAAAGCAAGACTGAAAACCAGCTGCACAAACTCCAAACTCTGCATCTCCATATCTGATGTCAAAATGGTCTTCAGATCTCCAACTCCTTTTAGTTTTGTTGATTGCAACACACTTCTTTCTCTTGGGTTGGCTCCAGTCTCTGGTATCAGCTTTCTTTGGCAGGTATCCCATGGCTCTGGCATCTCTAATCTCTTGGGGGCTCTAAGGCAATTCAGGTGTCACCTTCACAGCTTCATACAATGGACTCTCTCTGGCCTTCCATGCAGGGACCTGCCCCTACCCACATGCCTGGCCTCTGTAGCTTTCCTTAATCATGGAGAAAGGGTCCATAAGTCCTTTCTTCTATCCATGATTCTAAAGCCAGAATCACTTGGCCAAAGCTGTCAAGGTCTGCTGCTTGTTCAATTACATCTTAACCAGCTTTCTGTTTTCCATGGTTTCCTTCGTTGCCTAAGCTTGGCTGTCCTGACCAGTTGAACTTCAACTCAGAGATCTGCATGCCTCAGTCTCCTGAGAGCTGGGATTAAAGATATGTACCACCATACCTAGACCTAAACTGTTCCTTAATTCCTTTTCACAATTTGGAAGTTTAGCAGGAGACTGTGTGCCACAGAGTGTAGCTTGAGCATAGGAGACCTCAAAGCCCACCCCAACAGTGACACACTTCCTTCAACAGGCCACACCTCTTAAAAGTGCCATTTCCTACAGGCTGAGCATTCAAAAGCATGAGTTTAGGGGGCCATTCCTATTCAAACTATCCCCAGCCTCCCATACAGCTCCCCCAAGGGACCCTGCACAGAGCAGCCAGAAGTCCTTACCTGCTGCCTCCAATGAAATTACAAATTTGTTCAGAAAATAAATAGTGACTACTGTTTGAAGCGACTACCTTGGGAGCTGTTTGTTTCACAGCGAGGACTAACACCTGGACCTTATTCCCGAACTCTTACGTGGTTTGGTAGTAGGAAGCATAGCAGTTATTAAATTAACAAGGGGGGGTGTGTGTCCCACTCTTGAGCTAAAGCTTTTGAAGTGGGTTCTGGGTATCTGGCTTGGGTCATCAAGATTGTACAGCAAGTGCTATAGCCACTGAGCCATCTCTGAGCACTATGGTTTTTTAGTGTTTGTTTGATTGGTTGGTTGTTTTTTGTTTTCTTTGAGACAGGGTTTCTCTGTGTAGCCTTGGCTACCCTGGAACTATCTCTGTAGACCAGGTTGGCCCTGAACTCAGAGATTCTCCTGCCTCTGCATCCTGAGTGGTGGGATTAAAGGTCTGTGTCACCACCACCAGGCTGCTTTTGTTTTTTTAAAGAAACAATTGTAAAGAATGTCTTGTGTATTGTATAGATGAAATTACCTTTCAATTAAAAAAAAAAAAACTTATAGTCTATAGGTAGTAGTAGAATAGAAGGTGGGACATCCAGTAGGCAGAAAGAATTCTGGGAGAGAGCCAAGCATGGGAGATTTGCCTGGGAAGATGTGAGAAAAATGGACACATGGTACCCTGAGCAGAGGTAACTGGCCATGTCGCAGAACCTAGACTAGTATAAATGAGCTATCTTAAGTTATGATCTAGTTAGAAAAGAGCCTAGCTATATGGCCTAGGTATTTGTAAGAATATTATGAGTCACATTATTCCAGGAGTTTGAGACTAGTAGAAAAATCATGCACCCTACCTACTTCAGCTGCCAACAGCAGGCTGTCCAAACTGTTGACAAGCAGGACACTGGGAAATTGCCCAACTTTGCAGAGACTAAGTGGTCAGTCCTTCAAAATTCCTGCTTGACAGAAAAGTCTGTCAGATATTGTGGGGCGGTAGGCTGAAGATTAGATGCCCCAATGACACAGAGAAACCTGTGGTGCCTGCCTAGGCAGTCAGCTGTCTCTGTCATTTCTATAGTTCTGGAAGCTGCTTGCTCTACACTTTCTACATACTTAGGTAATATTATTTCCTTCTCAAGTCTCTGATGGGGTTGAAGACAACACAGTCAGAGCCTTACAGTTTTCCTTATTAAGATTAAAGACATAAAACCCTTAGTTTTTAGGAACTAAGATGATGTTTTGGGTCTAAAAAGATGTTTCTAGATTAACAAACGCAAGTTACAAGAAAATGATTTAGGTATAGAACTTTGAACTCACCAGGATAGGATAGAGAGTGGAATACTTTTTCAAAGGATTCCAAATACAAATGGACTGGACAGAGTAGGTGTAATTCTTACCTGATAATTCTCATAATTATTCTTATTGTATATAGTTTATTAATGTTAGAAAAAAAAAGCCATTTTTAAATAAAAAATGGGGGACATGTAGTAGAAGTTTGGTTTCTTAAAAACTCATTTATGTAAACAGGTTTTGTTTTAATAACAAGTGTGAGAAATGGAGCTGCTTTCAAGCTTATCCAAAGTTGATAACTGCCTCCTGTGCCTCAGAGAGGGGTGTGGTCTTTGCCAACTACAATTAGTTTGATTCTGAGGTCTCTGAGGGGGAATAAATACCAGAGCACAGACAGGAGAGAGAGAAAACACGTTGAGAGATGCTTTGAGGGATGCTGAGGGAGAAAGAGAGAAGTCAAGAAGACAGACAGAGAAAGAAGGCTGCTGTCAGTTGTCTGCAGCTGACAACTGAGATTGGCATTTTCTTAAAGAACTCAATGACCCTAACCAGCTGAAGGTAAGTCTAAAGAGGTCTATGTCCCCAGTCCCTTCTCTCCTACCTAGGGTTAGGGCTTGGGAGACTGGAAGGGAGGTACAGGCATTAAGGAAACCCAAACAGAGTTTAAAAACTAGCACCTGCAACACACAGTTCTCTGATCTTGGGTTTGATGAAAACCAGACAACTGATGTCCCCAGATAAATGGAATGTGGGGAGGAGGGAGATGGCACAGGCAAACCGGACACTTCTAGAAGAGCTGACATCATCTGTTCCAGCCTCGAGGGAAGTCTGCTTCCACCAGAGCTGGTGATTCAGAGTGTGTGGAGGCAGTGAGCTGGAGGCCAGCAGAGGCACATGGGCTTCAAGCTAACAGGGTCACACAGAAGAGAATCAACAAAGCAGCTAAACCAAGGGGCAGCCAAAGGCATCAGAGGAAGATACCACATGACAAGAGGTTCAACACTACTGACTCTCCATGACAAGAGGCTGGGTGCTCTGCTGGTAGGGGCCTGAAAACGGCGGAGTACAGCAGAGGCCTGTACTAGAGGCCTCCTGCCTCTGGACTCGTTCTCATTGACAAATCTTCAAAAGCAATGACAAAACAGAGGACCACCTATGACTGCTCAGCATTGGACCTCTGTTACCAACGACTGTGACCTTCCTACCTAGAGCCTGTTGCTCAGGTGCAAAAACTAGGCATCACCCCTGCTTCCTCTTCTCTCATAGCCCACAGGTGTCCATCTACAGATCCAGCTAATTCCTCTCCCAACTACCCACTATGACCCACCCTCCACTGCTTCTCACCGGCTTCTCCTTTCCACAGCCTTTCTCCATGGAGAGTCACTTACACTCCAGCTGTAGAACAGTGGCACTCTGTTCCAGCTCTCCCAGGACCTCCCATCTCTTACAGAGCAGATCCGAAGAGGCTCTGCTCACCCCGCTACATCTGCCACCTCCCTCCCTTGTCCTTGTTTGTTGCCCACACTAACTCTTGAGTATCCCAACTGCATTCCTGCTGTGGAAGCTTGCAGACGGTGGGGCCCCTTCTGTAATGTTCTCCTAGCGTGTTCATTTGGCTCACTGACCGCCCCTCAAGGAGACCCAGACAACACAAACAGTAGTGGAACCTTCTTCCTTCATTGCCTTTACCCAGCTTCCACTCTTCCTGCCACCCAATGCATCCTTTGTGCCATCCCCCGGAACATGAGCTCTGAGAACACATGCCTTTCCATGCCTGTCCAGTTCATCACCATGTCTCCAAATACTGTTCTTAAACACACAGAAGGTAAGTTTAAGAAAAGCAGAAAGGCCCCAGGCCCAGCAGCCTTACCTTCTTCCCCGCTGTGGGGCTGCTCTCCGCACTCTGCACAGGGCTCCTGTGGGGGCTTCGGTCATCCTGAGGCACACACCTGCCCATGTACACACTGTAGTCTAGAAGCATCTTCTGTCGCACACTGCCCACCAGCTCCTTCTGCTTTGGCTGGGACATCATCTCCTCCACGCTGCCTTTGCTGCTGCTGCGGCTATGGGTCAGGTGGCCCGAGGGACTGCTGTGTCTGCTGTGGGTGGGCAATGGCCCTGGGGTAAGAAGCGATGGCTATTAATACCAATGAAAAAAAGAAGGCAGGAATAAACTAAATGTCCGCGAGCTAAATGGAAAAGCAGCTAAAATGCCAACAAATGATTAAAAAAAGCGTTACCCTGAAAAATACCTTCTGCTCTAACAACAGATGATTTTTAGAATCGTTTTTATTCTTCTCCAAGGTAATTTTGGAATGCAGGCAGTGCAGTATGCCAGGTGGCTACCTTTTTCTTTGCTTCCAGTGATCTTTTAGGAAAATGCAAAACACAAAGCACAGTGCCAGTGTGGCCTCCAGTCAGGGCGGACCTGTGAATGCTAACAGGGTAAAGGGTGGGTGGACAGGAAGCTAATGAATTGTTCACCCACAGCTCAGGCACTCCAAAGATGCCATCTTTCATTCAGCAGACTACTCATCAGAAACCGCCTCTGGACCTGTTCCATGCTAACCAGGGAACAAGCTGAATCCCTGCCCTTGAAGTCAGACACATGAGAAGATAAGTCACAAGCACCTGTGGCAAGCATTGCCAAGAGCTGCTGACCCAGCATCTCACGGACACCCCACCAGGGACACCTCAACTGTCTTTCAAGGAAAGAGAAGCCATTTTCCTTGCCCTGGCAGAAGAGTCATCCAGACTGAGAACAACATATCAAGAAGCAAGATTCAGGGAAGTTCCATGAGGAAGACACACAGGGGACAGGAAGCGTGGGTGGAGGGAATGGTAGGAGCCTGTCAAGTGCTCCAACGGTGACCCGAGGTTCAGTTTAACCTGTTGCAATAGACAGTTTTTTAGCATGGGGAGTGCCTGACACCAACTGACCGTTCACTCAGGTTTACTGTGAGAGCAAAGTAAGAACAGAGAGGTCAAAATGCAACCAATCACTGACATTGCCAGGTTCCAGCTCTCTGAACTGCAGCTCTCTCTCTGGTCACACAAAGACTTGGGAAAGCTACATTAACTTAGTTTTTTTAGCTAAATTATTCCCAGGACTGAGCACCTGAGGTTTTTACCTAGAATTCAAACTTTTTATAATCCTTTATCATTTTCAAACCACTTTAAGGTTTAATATTATTTTTAAATGTCAGTACAATGCTATATTTCCCTCTCCTTTTTTTTTTTTAAATAAAAGGACTTAGTAGAAAATGCAGTGCAGTCTAAATAAACTCTAGTGTTTAGTTAATAAATAATCAACAGTTTTTTAAAAAGACAGAACCAAGAGCACCCCTCCCCCCAGTCCAAAGAGGTGATAAGAACCTGACTATGGCATGGCTATTGTTCCCTGCCCAAAGGAGCAGCTTCTTTGCTTGGGGTGGGACAGAGCATAAGAGCTGTTACCACTCTGTAAATTTCATGGCTGGCCCTTGAAATGCTGGAATTGTGCCAGGGGACCTCATGGCTTCTCTGATCTCTCCAGGTTCCGTTCCTCCGGCAACCACTTCTGACTGTAGACAGAAACTGAGTGCTAGCGATCTGGAATCTCCATCCTTATTTTGGCCTCCAGAACCAGAACCTGCACCGTGAGTTGCCAGAGAAACCTATGTTATGTCTCTAAGCGATAGCACCCCTGAGAGAGAGGACAGACCGGAGTCAACCGCAAGACTTCTCTCATGTGGCATTTACAGAGGTTCCTGGTCTTGGAGATGCATCACCAGGGTCACCTTCACAGCTGATAACAGCAGCCACTGTTCAGGCAGCTTTGAAATACAGTACATTTGTCACCTACTGCTCTAAGTTCCATCTCCATTTACAGGGTTTTAAGGTAGCCCCGGCTAACCAGGTATTGCTAGCAGTGTCAGAGTGCAGGCTCGCTTGATTTCAGTGTAAAGTAGGTACTAAGGCCTCCCATATTCCTGGCTATTACCACTGACTTTGTTGTGCCATAAGTGGAAGTCATTAAAAACAAATACGAGACAGGAGCCTTAGCCAACTAAGCCACTGAGCCACCTGGAAGACCCCTAAAGGCCGAGCTCAGAGAGTTTTGTGGAAGATGGGAGGGAGGACTGAGGGAGCCAGAGGGGTCAAGGACACCACAAGAAAACCTACAGAGGCAACTAACCTGGGCCCATCGGGCCTCACAGAGACTGGACCACCAACCAAAGAACATGTGTGGGCTAGCTCTAGGTCTCCGACACATATGGAGCAGATGTGTAGCTTGGTCATCATGTGGGTCCCCTAACAATGGGAGTAGGGGTTGTCTCTGACCCCGTTGCTTCCCTTTACCTCCCTTTCCCTTAGCTGGGTTGCCTTGTCTGGCCTCAGTGGGAGAGGATGCACTTAATCCTGCTGCAAGTAGATATCCCAGGGTGGCTCGGGTCCTCCTGTTCCCTAAGAAGGGGGGATGTCTAAGAGTGGGACTGGAAGGAGAAGGCTGCATTCAGGCTGTAAAGTGACTAAATAAATAGATAAATAAATAGGAAGAAAAAACAAATCAGCTGAGCATGGTGGCACATGCCTTTAATGGCAATACTCAGGTAGCACAGGCAGGGCTCTCACCATGTAGCCTGGTCTGGAATTCACTACATAGACCAGGCTAGCTTCAAACTCACAGAGATCCGCCTGCCACTAATCCCCCAATCCTGAGGTTAAAGGTATGTACCACCACACTCTACTCTTGCCACTTTCTTCAGACTAGGGCCTCCTGGAGCTGCTTTTATGAGAGCGTCCCAGGGCGCCGCCACAGGCGAGCCACGCATCCCTGCGAACAGACCGTTGCTGGCACACACCCTGGTACCAGGGGTGCAAGTGGTTACTGTAAAAGGGACACATGCCATGGTAGCACACGATGTGGCAGGGAGTAACGAACTAAGGGCGGGCTTCCTGCCTGCCTGCCGCCACTCTCTCTCAATCTTCCCACAAGCCCTTTAAACACATACACACTTAGCGCAAATGCTATTACCTGATTTACTCCCAGAGACGCCAGACGGCTTCTTGAGGTCTGACTTCAGCTTGGATGCCAGGATAAACCTCCTAAACCACTCCTCTTTTTCTCGGCCAGTTCTCCCAAACAGATAGAGTATCGGGTCTCGCTGGTTAGATTTTGTTCCCTCTGGAAGCTGGGGCGTCTTCTTAGGGTCTTCGCTTGCCGTCTCTTTCTCAGCAGGTGGCTTCTCCTCACTGGTTTCCTTATCCGACTGTGCCTTAGACATAAAGTCATCTTGCCGACCAAGCTCAATACAAATGGGGTACTTTTTATTCCAGATGCGTTTGCGAGCCAAGCTTTTAGGAACAAGATAAATCTACAGAGAAAGGCAATTGACGATTTACATACCAGAGAGTGTCTACCTTGTGCTTCAATATCACACATCAGAAACCTTTGACTAAATGATGGAAGTTAAATAACTCTTACTACCTGCCTATAACCTGACTGGGGAACCCGGAACACATTCTTAGAAATGACTTCTTATTCCTCAAAATTCCGAACTGTGCACATTGAAGACCTACATAAGAGCTATGAATATCTTTCATTCTCAGGCAGCAATTACAGAATAGTAACATTTAACTAATTATCATCAAACAGGCTTGAAGACTAACTGAGTTAGTGACCATAGGTGACGCTCAAAATGGGAGGAAAGAATCTCTCAGTCTAGACAGGGAGTGCAGGTCAATGCTGGGGATCTACTCAACGATGAATCGATATAGCAACTACTTTACAGACGAGCTGCAAGAACAGAGAACCGATGCCACGTAGAGTAAAAATTTACACATAGTGTTTAGACTAAATATTGAGTGTTGTTTTTTGTTGTTGTTGTTGTTGTTGTTTGCTTAGGGTGTATGTGAAGAGGACAGGTTGAGGCAGGATCTACTTATGCAGTCCAGTGTAGCCTGGCCTCAAACTACGTACCCCAGGCTAGCCTTGAAATCACAGCCATCCAAGCAGGGTGCGATGGAGCACGCCTGTAAACCCAGCACTTGGGGAAGCAGAGGCAGGAAGATCTCTGTGAACTGCAGGCCAGCCTGGTCTACAAGTGAGTTCAGGACAGCCAAGGCTACACAGAGAAGCCCTGCATCCCTACCTCCATATCTAGCTTTTAATGTCAGAACTGTAAGTGCAGAGAACCCTTGCTCCTGGAATGTGGTCCGTGGGGATGCAGCAAGAGCTCCACCCTGAAAGTTCATAGAAATCTAGGCTCAGCCAGGCAGTAGTATCACACGCCTTCAATCTCAGCACTCAGGAGGCAAAGGCAGGAAGATCTCCGAGTTCCAGGACAGCCAAGGCTACACAGAGAAACCCTGTCTTGGAAAAAAGAAAAATGAAAAAAAGAAACCCAGCTTCTCAGGTCCCACTCCACGTTGTTGCACCGCAACCTGCATTTCAAAAGCTGTCCAGTGATTGCCAGTTTGTCTGAGAACCCTCGGGAGAGCAGACTGCTCCTTAAACGACATCATGGCGTGGGGTGCAGCACAGCAATCACGATTCCAGACGCTTTGCATTCATTCATGAAGCTCTGCTTCCAAAACCACCCAGACTCACCTTGCTGTCTGAGAGGTCGTAGATTTTCTGGCTGATGTAGGTGACCTCTGGCTTTGTTTCATTGTAGCTCGCCCTCCTGGATATGTTTTTGTTGGGCTTTGAAAGTCTTAGGGTTCCGCCCTCCAGCCTGACGAAGACTGAGTGTGTCAAGGTCGCATGGTAAGTTTCTGGATCATAGTTGTAGATCTCGTTCATCCATCCCTGATGGAGAAACCCTTTATTAATAAGAGTGAACAGTGAGTTGAGTATATACCCTGTGTGTCTTTCTGCTTCTGGGATAGCTCACTCAGGATGATCTTTTCCAGTTCTCACCATTTACCTGCAAATTTCCTGATTTCCTTGTTTTTTTATTGCTCAGTAATATTCCATTGTGTAAATGTACCACAATTTCTCTATCCATTCCTCAACTGAGGGGCATCTGAGCTGTTTCCAGATTCTGGCTATTACAAACAAAGCTGCTACAAACATGGTTGAGCAGTGGATATTAGACATATAACATAAGATAAACATATTAAAATCTGTACACCTAAGGAAGATAATCAGGAAGGATGACTCTGGCTAAGATGCTCAATCCCCATTCAGAAAGGCAAAGAGGATGGACATCAGAGGAGAGAAAACAGAGAACAGGACAGAAGCCTACAACAGAGGGCCTCTGAAAGGCTCTAACCTTCAGGGTATCGGCAGATGCTGAGACTCATAGCCAAACTTTGGACAGAGTGCAGGGAATCTTATGAAAGAAGTGGAAGATAGTAAGATCTGGAGAGGACAGGAGCTCCATAAGGAGAGCAACAGATCCAAAAAGTCTGAGACTGATACTCCAGCCAAGGACCACTCATGGAGATGGCTTGGAACCCCTGCACAGAGGTAGCCCATGGCAGTTCAGTATCCAAGTGAGGTTCCCTAGTAATGGGGACAGGGCTGTCTCTGACATGAACTCAGTGGCTGGCTCTTTGATCACCTCCCCCTAATGGGGGAGTAGCCTTACCAGGCCACAGAAGAAGACAAAGCAGCCACTCCTGATGAGACCTGATAAACTAGGATCAGAGGGAAGGGGAGGAGGACCTTCCTTATCAGTGGACTGGGAGAGGGACACGGGTGGGGAAGAGGAAGAGTAGGATTGGGAGGGGAGGAGAGAGGGAGGTACAGGGAGGATACAAAGTGAATAAACTGTAATTAATAAAAATAAAATTATTAAATAATAAAAAACTAAAAAAAAAAAAAAAAAAAAAAAAAAAAAAAAAGGAGTGAGCAGTGTGCCGAGGTGAGAATCCTGGCTTTCAGGACTGACACACAATGCAGTGTTAACTTCCCAATGCTCAGTGCCAGGGAACAATGGGAATAATTTGGTATGGTTTGATAACCAAAAATGTGGGGAGGCAGAATGGTTAATGTCCACTATCCAAAAAACACAATACTTTTCTTAAAGCTGACAAGCAAAAGGAGAAATTCAAGTCTTATGCACACAACAGAGCAAGGCTCTGTGCCTAATCTCCCTTGAGAATGAGCACTGCGCCAGTCTGGATTTTTTTTCTGTGTGTTACAAGGTTTCTTATGTAGTCTAGGCTAGCCCAGACCTTGACATCTTGCACATGCACAGTCTGGGTGCTGTGATTACTGGGTGTGGGCCTGGTTTCCATTCTGGTGCTGTCTTTAGATTGATTGATCTGTTAGTTTATTACATGGGTGCTGTAGTGCATCTGTGGAGGCCAGAAGACAATTTGCAGGGGAAGGTGGCCTTCTCCTTCCACCACGGGGGACTGGGGAATGAGCTCAAGTTGTCAAGCGTAGCACCAAGTACCTTTAAGGCATTTCGCCAGCCCCAGTCCAGCCCCCCCCCCCCCGCCCCCCAAGCTGAGGATAGAACCCAGGGCCTGCACTTGCCGGCACTTGCTACCACTGAGCTAAATCCCCAACCCCCGATCCGGCTTTTTCAGTTAGGCTAATAAAAAAATGACTTTATCTTCAAACAGGTCCTTCACTGTGCATTTCAAGGGCTTTTGTGGCAGCAGTGGGCATGCAGTGCACCTTACTGTTTCAAAGATGGCTGGAGGGGGCTCTGGGAAAGAAGACTACATAGCCCATTGTTTTACCATCATAAAATTAACTTATCATTAAAATAAATTCTCAAGCCAGGCGTGGTAATAGTGCATGCCTTTAATCCCAGTACTTGGGAGGCAGAGGCAGGCAGATGTCTGTGAGTTTGAGGCCAGGGTGGTCTACAAAGTGAGTTCCAGGACAGCCAGAGCTACACAGAGAAATTCTGTCTGGAAAACCAAAGCAAACCATACCAAAACCAAACACTGTTTTTGTCCTTGTTAGATTGAATTATCACCAAGCAAGTGCATCCTGAGTGAGGTAACCCAGAGCCAGAAAGGCACACATGATATATACTCACTTATAAGTGGATATTAGCCATATAGTCCAGGATAACCATTCTATAATTCATAGACCCAAAGAAGCCAAGGGAGTCAAGGGAAGATGCTTGAATCTCATGCAGAAGAGGAAATAAAATAGTCATCTGAAGTATATGGAAGAAGGGAGCTGTATGGGAGAGGGGCTGGGAAAAGTAAGGAGTGCAGGATCAGGTGTTGGGAGGGGCCAGGGGATGGAGGTGGGAAGGGGAGGACCAAGAGAGGAAAATCTGTGGGGGAGTATCTCTGAGACAGGGGAGGCCCCTGGAAGTCTATGGGGTGACCTTAGCTGAAATCCCTAACAGAGGGGACATGGAGCCTTAACCTGCCACCTCCTATAGCCAGGTGGGACCAGTGGAGGGAGGGGGACATGAACCCACCCATAAAACCCAAATTTTGTCCTGCCTACAATAAGTGTAGGGATAAAGATGGAGCAGAGATTGAGGAAATGGCAAATCAATGACTGGCCCAACTTGAGACCCACCCCATAGGAGAGAGCCAACTCGACACTATTAATGATACTCTGCTGTGCTTGCAGACAGGAGCCTGACTTAACTGCCTTCAGAGAGGCTTCATCCAACAACTGATGGAAAGAGAGGCAGATACCCACAGCCAAACAATAGGCAGAGCTCGGGGAGTCTTGTGGAAAGGTGGGAGAAAGGATTGAGAAAGCTGGAGGAGTCAAGCACACCACAAAAAAGACCTACAGGGCCAACTAACCTGGGCCCACGGGGGGGGGGGGGGGGGGGGGCCTCACAGAGATTGAACCACCAACCAAAGAGCATGCATGGGCGGGACCTAGGCACCAGACACATACGTAGCATATGAGCAGCTTGGTCATCATGTGGGTCCCCTTCCCTTTCCCCTAGCTGGGGTGCCTTGTCAGGCCTCAGTGGGAAAAGATGCACTTAGTCCTGCTGTGATTTGAGGGGCCACAGTGGGTTGGTATTCTTTAGGAGCCTCTGCTTAGGAGAGAATAGAATGGGGGAGGGGAGCTTGAGGGTGGGACTGGGAGGAGAGAAAGAGGGCTGGCATCAGGCTGTAAAATGATAAAATTAAATAAAATAAACCCCAAACAAAACAAAACCCCATAGTTTTTTCCTTCCCTCACTGCCTCTCTCTCTTTCTGTGTGTGCATAAGATTGGGTTATATACCTCAGCCACATCTTCACCTTCTATTTTGAGACAGAGTCTCTCACTGAACCTAGAATCTGCTGTTCAGCTAGAATGGCCCCAAGAAACCCTGGATCTGCCCATCTCTGGCCCTCAGGATGAGCTGCAGAGGTGCGCTCTCTGTCTAAAGTTGTTTACACAGTAGATAGGGTCCTCCTGCTTATGCCGCAAGTGTTCTACTTCCTGAGCCATCTCCACCCTCCCACCCTGTCTTTTGTTGTTGTGGTTGTTGTTGTTTGTTTTTCGAGCTCGCACTATGTGGGGTCAGGCTGGGGCCAAACTCCAGAGATCCTCCTGCTTCTGCCTCCCGAGCATGGAGAATAAAGGCGTGTGCCACATTTTTTAAACACTCGTTAGGTATTACATGCCAGGATATGTCTATTTTGGTGATAGGTTTCTTCTTTCTTTCTTTTTTTTTTTTTTTTCCTTTTTTTGTTTCTTTTTTTTAATTTTTGTTTTTTTATATTAATTACAGTTTATTCGCTTTGTATCCCAGCTGTAGCCCCTTCCCTCATTCCCTCCCAATCTCATTCCCTCCTTCCCTCATCTCCTTCCTGCCCTTCTCTAAGTCCACTGGTGGGGGAGGTCCTCCTCCCCGTCCATCTGACCCTAGCTTATCAGGTCTCTTCAGGACTGGCTTCGATGTCCTCCTCTATGGCCTAGCAGGACTGCCCCTCCCTGGGGGGGGGGGTGTCAAAGAGCCGTTGAGTTCATGTCGAGACAGTCCCTGTTCCCCTAACTAGGGAACCAACCAAGGACCATGACTGGATATAACCTAGAGCCCCTGCCCAGATGTAGCCCATCTTTTGAGACAGCATATACCAGTCTAGCCTCAAACTCAAGACTTCCAACCTTAGCTCTCTAGTGCTGGGAATGACCCAGCATTCTCAGATCTGTGCCGTCAAGTTCCAGGGTCATAGACGCACACTGTTGTGCTCAGCTTATTGACAAGTTCTATGTGCACTTCAAAAACAATCCCGCTGCTGCCATTGAATGGTTTTCTCCACATGTACTTCAAACATACACACTTATTTACAGAGAAATTTCTATCAAGTTTTTAGCTTGTTTCTTTGCTTTTCAGATTTGGAAAATAAGACAGCACATCAAAGCTGTGAGAGCTGGCTCTGCAATGCTCTGTGCCCAGGTCAGGCATGCTGCCATTACCCTGTGTCCTCCAAGGAGCTGCAGATCAATTCTGTTCCTAGGTCAATTCTTGTATCTGGTCAGCAAAGGCAACCCTCCCCATAATGCATGTGGGAGCTGGTTTGCTACGGATCAGGATCAGCCTGAAGAGCAGGCCCCACCCGAGCTCTGGCTCCACTCAGCAGTTCAGAGATGAGTAAGCACTTACCCTCTGCTGACAGCTGACAGTCACAGGCCAGCCTCTGCTCACCAAATACCAGGACAACCTGATTCAGAAAAATGTAATGGAAAGGAGTTTGGGCCTAACTACACAGATCAAAACCACAAACCTTAGCTGCTGTGCACTCTAGCAGAGGCAAGAAGCCTAGGTTATGCCTTCCCTGGGGACAAGCTTGCTCCAATGTTCCTTCAGTATGACCCAGGCCAGGGTTCCTCCCACCCGTATCTCCCCAGATGTCCAGCAGCTATGGTTTC